GGGGCGGGGGGCGGCCAGGGGGCGCGGGGCCGCGTGAGGGCCGCCGGGGCTGGGCCGGGAGGGGGGCATGCACTGGCCGGGCTCATTCGCCTCCTGTGCCCACAGCCAACCTGACCGGGCACGAGGAGAAGGTGAGCGTCGAGAACTTCGAGCTGCTCAAGGTGCTGGGCACGGGAGGTGAGGACCCCCACCCCCGGGGCAGGTGTCCCGAGCCTGGTGCGCTGGGCCTCTGGGCGGCGCACCCTCCTGGGCCTGGGCCAGGCCTCCGGCGATGCCCCCCACCCTTTCCCAGCACGGCCCGCCTTGCCTGCCCCGCCCTGCCCTGCCAGGGTTTGCATGCCCACTCCCAGGGACATGCCTACTCCTAGCACCGCTCCACATTCTGTTGCTCCTCCCTGCAAGGTCCTCCGGGATTTGCCAGCACCCTCCAGGGCTTGCAGCCCTCCCGAGGGATTTGCACACCTCCATATGCGAGCCTGGTCTCCTGCTTTGCTCACTCCCAGCTTTGCAAGTTCCCCGGCCTGGGTTTGCACATCCCTCCCCCGTCCACTTTGCATCCCCCTGCATCTGTCTGATCGGCCCCAGCTCTGCCCATGTTCTGCCCCCACCCTGCATGGCAAGCCTCCAGGAGTTGCACGTCTTCCAGCCTGGTTTGCACATCTCCTCCCCGCTTTTGTGGGCCCTCCGGGGCTGTGTACACCTTTTCCTGAGAAGGCTGTGTCAGCCTTTTGCACCCTTGCCTCTCACTCCAGCTCCTTCCCCCAGTGTGCACACCCTCTGGGTTGGCATCGCCCCCGCCCCCGCCCCCACCAGTCCGCACCACCCTTCCGCTCACGGTCTACCCCTCCGCTCGCTCACTGCTCCCACAGCCTACGGGAAGGTGTTCCTGGTGCGGAAAGCAGTCGGGCACGATGCAGGGAAGCTGTATGCTATGAAGGTGCTGCGTAAGGCAGCCCTGGTGCAGCGCGCCAAGACGCAGGAACACACACGCACCGAGCGCTCCGTGCTGGAGCTGGTGCGCCAGGCACCCTTCCTGGTTACGCTGCACTACGCCTTCCAGACGGACGCCAAGCTGCACCTCATCCTGGGTAAGGGCGGGCACCTACCGACCTTGGGGGCCACGGAGGCAGGTGGGGCCGCTCGGTCGGCGTTGCGTCCCAACCCCCATTCCACCCCCCAGACTATGTGAGTGGAGGCGAGATGTTCACCCACCTCTACCAGCGCCAGCACTTCAAAGAGGCCGAGGTGCGCGTGTATGGGGGCGAGATCGTGCTGGCCCTGGAGCACCTGCACAAGGTGGGTGAGGACCCGGCCTCCGGGCTCTTGCCACGGGCACTGAGGGGCCTCCAAACATGGCAGCCTTGAAGCGCTCTCTCCTGGGTGGTCTTGGTGGGGGCCGGGCCTGGACGCATCTGGAAGGAAGGCCTTAGCGCTGCCTGGGGAGGGGTCTCCCCCCCCCCAGCCCCCCTGTGGCACCCCCTCAGAGGGGCTTTCCTCCGACAGGGAACTCGGGACTGCCTCCCGGGGCCACGCTCGCAGAACTTCCTCAAATGGAGACCTCATGCCTTGGCTCCCAAGGCCTTCTTGCAATGGGACTCTTCACACAGGCTCTCCTTCCCTCTGGGGCCTTGGGGCCTGTTCCCATGGTGTCCTCCTTCCTTGCTTTTACATCGGAAATGGCTTTTGCCATCTGATGGCCCGGTGCCTGGGCCCACTGCTGCACCGGAGACCCCTTCTCTAGGGGGCTCCCCTTATCCTGAGCTGGGTCTTGGTGCCTGGGCACGAGCCGTAGGAGGTGGGGATGTCGGGGAGGAAGGCTCAGCACTGCTCTCGCTCCCACCAGCTGGGTATCATCTACCGAGATCTGAAGCTGGAGAATGTGCTGCTTGACTCCGAGGGCCACATCGTCCTCACAGACTTCGGGCTTAGCAAGGAGTTCCTGACGGAGGAGGTGAGCGAGGGGCACTCTCCCTGCCTCCTGCACCCCCATGCAAGCCTCCGCCTTCCTGTCTCCTGCTCCGTGCCTGGCTCTGTGTTTTGGCCGCGCAGAGGTAAACAGGTCCAGGCCCTGCCTTCAGGAGGCGCTGCCCCCCTGTTCCAACCCTCACAAGTCCAGCGAGTCCTACTCTGAGCCTTGGGGACTGCTGGGTGTCCAAATGGGTCCTCTTGCCCTCCCAGAAAGAACGAACCTTCTCCTTCTGTGGCACTATCGAGTACATGGCCCCCGAAATTATCCGCAGCAAGTCGGGGCATGGCAAGGTGGGTTCGCGGGGGAGTGGGTGGGGAGTGGCGGTGGGGTGAGGTAGGGGTGGCCACAGGCCCTCACCCTGGCTCTGCCCCGGCAGGCGGTGGACTGGTGGAGCCTGGGCATCCTGCTCTTCGAACTGCTGACTGGGGCCTCGCCCTTCACACTGGAGGGCGAGAGGAACACGCAGGCAGAGGTGTCCCGGTGAGCGGGGCTGGACAAGAAGGGGGGGCAGGGAGGGGCCTGGGCAGGGTTGGGGAGGGGGCTCGCTGCCCCTGACGCCCCCCCAATCCTCCCAGACGGATCCTGAAGTGCTCCCCTCCCTTCCCCCCCCGGATCGGGCCTGTGGCACAGGACCTGCTGCGGCGGCTGCTTTGCAAGGACCCCAAGAAGCGGCTGGGCGCGGGGCCCCAGGGGGCGCAGGAAGTCAGGAACCACCCCTTCTTCCAGGTGAGGTTCCTGACTCCCCGCCACAGCTCTCCGCACGCTACCCAGACCGGGCCGCTGCTCTGGGTTGGGGGACCCTGGAGGGATGATCTGAGACCAGCTGATTTCACCTGACTTAGAAAAACCGCCAGATAAAGCGGGTTTGTCTTCTCCATCTCTGGTGCAACTTGGAAGGAGTGTTCCTGGGGGAAAGAATTGTAGGTTCACTGACTGTCAGGGCTGGCAGGGACTTGAGAATGCCTTCGTTGGTCCTTTCACTGGACAGGTTCAGAGAAGGGAGGCGACCTGCTCCGGATGGCACAGGAAATGGTGTAGAGCTGGGGATCGATTGCAGGTCTCCTGTTGGCTCACATCAGTACTAAAAGTCACACTTAGGGCTCTCCGCACCCACCCAGGCATTTTGTTCTTTGTTCCAGCATTCTCTGTGTGCCTGTCATTCAGATGGGCAGTTGGTCGGTCGCTTGGGTTTTGTTCAGTTGTTAAGAGCACGCACAGATTAGAGTGCGGTGCAGGGTGAATTCTGTTTCCTTGTGAGAGCTCGCTGGCTCGGGCGCTGTGCGTGGCCAGTGTCGTTGCCTCACGGGACCCCGTACCAGTGAACGCCTGCTGTGTGTTGGCTCTTTGCTCGCATCATTTCATGTAACCTGCAGAAGCATTCTGATGGGGAAACTGAAGTTCAGAGAGGTTAAGTCATTTGCCCAAGGTCACACAGCCAGGACGTGATGGGGCTCAGATCCAAGCCCAGGTCTGGATGATTTGAAGCCTGTGCACTTCACTGCTGTGTTCTGTTTACTTGTGGGCATCAGATTAGCCACTTGTCTGACATCGTCACGGAAGTGCCCATTTATGGGCACTTGTTGTGGGCCAGGCACTCAGTTACTCTTGCTATGAGTGCTATCTCCAATCTTCCTACCACGGTCCCTTGGAGATGCTTTCTGAGACAGGAATCTAAGTCTTTGTGGTGAAGTTGTCCCTTGGTGGGGGAAGGGGCTGGGCAGTGTCCCTTTCCTTAAGCGGATTCCTCAAACCCACCCTGCGTGCATGCCAGGCCCTGGGTTCTGGGAGTCGGTTGACCGGCAGTCATACTGGAGAGTCCCTAAGGTCTTCGAGGGCTGATGCTCAGAAGGGGTGTTCCCTGCAATCCCCCTGCTCTCAAGACAGCCCCTTTGGTGATAGCAATGCTGAGGTCCTGGTACCAGACCCGGGGCCTTTGAGACCAAGTCAGGCATCTTGGCTGCAAGTGACAAAAAGTCCTACTCAAAATGGTGATGTCCCTGGAATAGAGAGATTGGCTGCTAAGAAGAGAGAGCGGAGTGAACAGTGGTCTAAACAAGATAGAGGGTTATTTTTTTTTTATTTCTGTTCTCATATAAAAGGTTGGCGGGCCAGGGCTGCTGTGGTGTTTTCATGAATACAAGCTCCTTTCTTCGTTTTTTTTTTAACTCTCCTCCATTCTTAGCATGTGGCCTCCAGCCCCAGGGTTGCCTCGTGGTCCAAAATGGCTGCTGGAGCACTTGCCATTTAGGCTGTCATCTAGGCAGAAATCAGGAGGAGAAAGGAGGGGAAGGGCAAAATGGACACATGCCAACTGTTCACCCTCCTCTTGAGGTTCTTTCTCTGGATTCTCACAATTTTTTTTTTTTTTTTTTAAGATTTTATTTATTTATTTGAGACAGAGAGAATGAGATACAGAGAGCATGAGAGGGAGGAGGGTCAGAGGGAGAAGCAAACTCCCTGCCGAGCAGGGAGCCTGATGCGGGACTCGATCCCGGGACTCCAGGATCATGACCTGAGCCGAAGGCAGTCGCCCAACCAACTGAGCCACCCAGGCGCCCCTCTCACAATTTTTACTTACAGGTTATGGGTCACCCCTAAGTGCAAGGAAGTTTGTTAAATACTGGCTTTTAATTGTGTACATTGATTGCTTCCTGTGATAACACTGGGGCTATGGTACGAAGGAAGACTGGGAATATGGAAGTTGGGCAGGCAACAAACAGGCTCTGCCATCCTAACTTAAACTTAAAAAGGCATGTTTTAGTTCCCGTATGTGAAAAGTCCGAGGAAGAGTGGTCTGACCTCAGGCAAGGCTGCATCCAGGTGTTGGATTTATGTTTTTAAGAATTTCTTTCTTTTTCTCTTGGGTGTTCTCCATGGGGACTTCATCATTAGACCCCGAGGGGGTCCCCAGCAGTTCCAGGCCCATGTCCTTCCAGATTTAAGTCCAGTTGGAGAAAGAGATTTGTTTTGCATGCCAATGCTAACAAAAGTCCCAGAATTGACTGAGTGTGGTGGAGAGATGATTCTCTAAGGGAAATAGGGATTCTCTTATCAAAGGGAGAAAAACAGAAGCCAGGGAGGCAGAGAGAACAGCTTTCCAGCCAAATGCCAGAGAGACCCTTGCCTCACTGAGGAGGAGCTGCCCAGTCAGGGTGACCTGAGGGGACAGGGGTTTTCACTTCCTGCCCTTCACCCCCAATCTCTCATTCCGTTTCTCCAGGGTCTGGATTGGGCTGCTCTGGCTGCCAGGAAAATTCCAGCCCCATTCCGACCCCAGATCCGCTCAGAGCTGGATGTGGGCAACTTTGCAGAAGAATTTACTCGGCTGGAGCCTGTCTACTCACCCCCTGGCAGCCCCCCGCCTGGGGACCCTCGCATCTTCCAGGTGAGTGAGAGCTCACTGAACTGCAGGTGCCATGGAGACAGGATGATGCTGCTGCCACCCTGGACCGGGGCTGACTCATGGCCCTGCATAGGCCCTGTGTTCTGATCAGGACTCAGCATCCCCCCCAGACCCCGTCCACTGGTGGGGTACCTGGAGTTGTCAGTCACACAGACTGCCACGGCAGGGCTCGTCTTTGAATTACATGGTTTATCTTTAAACTTCCTGATAACTTCCCTTCTACTCCATATATCTTTACTGTAATGTAAAGATACTGTTTTAACTATCCAGTTGCTTAAGTGGATAACTAGAAAGAGATACCATGTTTACACTGTGGCTTTGCGTGTCCCTTGGCAAATCATATCACCTGTGTGGAAGCACAGGCCCCCTCCACTCAGTTTTAGAAGCTTAGGCCTGTTGGGCAAGGTCAAACTGCTCGGCATTCAGGGCCCTGCGTGATGCGGTCCTTGCTCAGTGCCCTAGCCTCAGTGCTCACTGTTGTCCCACTTGGTACTCTACCACCTACGAACAGCTCAGAGGTTCCAGAGCACACATCTGTGCCTTTGCACATGCAATTCCCTCCACCTGGAGGACCTTCCCCATAGCTGCCCACCTGGCACTCCCACTCACCTTTCAAGTGAACCTCCTTGTGTGATGCTGCTCCTGTGTGAATTCCTCCCCGCCGCTCTGGTCCTGGGTTGCCCTCTCCTTGTGCATTGGTCCTCTGGAGGTGGCACCGTGTCAGGTTGTATCCTAACTGCCTTACTGGGACTGCCTCCCCTAGTCTGGAAGCTCCCAGAAGGCAGGGACTACGTTTAATTGCCCAGTGTGGGGGCCTGTAGGACATGGTCCATAAATATGAAATAAGAACAGACCAATAGCAAGTGTAGATGGGTCAGCCCCCCTGTGAGGCTCTCCCAAGTGATGGCTGTGTTGGAACAGCCCTCCACCGATTTATTAATTTATTTTAGAGAGCGAGAGAGTGGGTGGGGGGAGGGCAGAGGCAGAGGGAGGGAGTCTAAAGCAGACTCCATGCTGACCGTGGAGCCTGATGCAGGGCTCGATCCTACCACCCCGAGATCATGACCTGAGCTGAAACCAAGAGTCCGATGCTTTACTGACTGCACCACCCAGGCGCCCCCATTATCTCACAGTTCTGAGAAAGTTCTTTCTTGTGAATCAGTGGTTACTTTCATTCATTCATTTATTTTTTTTATTTTAATTTTTATTTAACTATTTTATTATTTTTTTAAAAAGACTTATTTTAGAGAGAGAGAGTGCACAAGCCTGGGCTGGGGGTGGGCGGGAGAGGGAGAGGGAGAGAGAATCTCCAGCAGACTCCCCACTGAGCCTGGAGCCTGATGTAGGGCTTGGATCCCACCACCCCGAGATCATGACCTGAGCTGAAACCAAAAATTGGACTCCCAACTGACTGAGCTACCCAGGCGCCCCTCATTCATTCATTTAATGATTCAAGAATATGTATTGAGTGACTACAATGTGCCCGGCACGGATCTGGGCCCCGGGGACAGATCGATGAACCTAACAGACAAGTGTGGAGTCTGCGTTCTTGTGCACAGTGGGGCTGTGTTTTTAGGAGAAAACAATTCGTCGTTAAACTTACCCTTAAGAATCCCTTGAATTGCCTCTTTGTATTTCCTCAGTAGCCCCCCCTTGCAGAGGAGGCCAATGTTTGGTTTGAGATGAAGGCATAAAGACTTTTTGTATTCAGTGGGTGGATTTGAATTCTCATAAGCTAAGTGTGTGTGATGCCAGGCCACGGCCCTTTCATGCCTTGGGTCCATCGTTTTCTGGGTCACTGCACTGTGCTAAATGATGCCCTTGGCACTCAGGGTGGGGGGTTTACTGTGGTGAGAACGGTGGAGTCGCAGACTGGTGGGGGGACATGAACCCAAGTGATCATAGAACAAGGTGGAATGAAATGTCCACCCACCTGTGTGCACCAGCATACCAAAGCAACGTCCTCCCCCACCCACTCTGGTCCAGGGTCTTCCTCTGAGCCCTGCCCCTCACTGGGCCTGGGCCTTCCAGGGACTCACTCCATATGCACCTGCAGGGACTCCATATGCACCTGTAGCCCCCTCCACCCCCCTCCACCCCGCAGGGATACTCCTTCGTGGCGCCCTCCATCCTGTTTGACCATAACAACGCGGTGATGATGACGGATGTGCTGGAAGCATCTGGCGCTGGAGACCGGCCTGGCCGGGCAGCGGTGGCCAGGAGCGCCATGATGCAGGTGGGTGGGGCCCGGGTGGGGAGTTGATTCTGGGGTGTCTGGGCTCGCGGATTCCAGACCTGGCTTCAGCAGGCGCCCATGGTGTGACCGCGGTGAGGTTTGGAGGGGCTTCCTGGTAGGATCTCTGACGCACCCCCTTCGCCGCCAGGACTCGCCCTTCTTCCAGCAGTACGAGCTGGACCTGCGGGAGCCCGCGCTCGGCCAGGGCAGCTTCTCCGTGTGTCGCCGCTGTCGCCAGCGCCAGAGTGGCCAGGAGTTCGCGGTCAAGATCCTCAGCCGCAGGTGGGCGGGCCCGGGCTGGGCGGGGCCGGGCGAAGACGGCTCCGGGAGGCGGGGCCGGAGGTCGGCCCAACTGACCGCGCCTGCCTTGCCCGCAGGCTGGAGGAGAACACGCAGCGAGAAGTGGCCGCCCTACGGCTTTGCCAGTCGCACCCAAACGTGGTGAAGTTGCATGACGTGCATCACGACCAGCTGCACACGTACCTGGTTCTGGAGCTGCTGCGGGGC